AGTACTTTATATCTTCATCTTATGCATAAATTCAAACAAAAATTTATAAAGTATATGTGGGTAATATAGATAAATAAATTAAATAAATAAATATATTACATTTTTCTAACTTTTATCATTAATAAAAATTAACGATATCAATAAAAAAAATCACTTTTGGTAACTCAAGTATACTTACCTTTCAGTTTTGGTATCCCTTTTTTTCAAATTTAATCAGTTTTGGTCACGAAAGTATGGCTTTGTCACTTTTGGTCATTTTTGTTAATTGATCGTCAGTCAACTGAGATCAACCGGTCTAGCAAGGTTCTATTGATGCTAAAACCAAATAAGTTGGTTAGAGCATCTACATCGGCTCGTTTATTTCCACCGTTTAAACGCCCCCGCCCCATTAATTCGGATGTGGCTCATTTGTTAAATGGAGGGGTCCACTACAACGTTCATTCCTTTGAACGCGTTCAACAGCCACTTTTTTTATTTTTTTTTTTTGTTTTTGTTTTAAAATTATTTTTTAATGGGTCCACTACAATGTTCATTCCTTTAAAATTTATTTTTTTGTTTTAATGGGTCCCACATATGTATTTAAATGATGAGTATGAATGTGGGTGTGTGTTTAAATAGAGAGATATTCGGTGGAAAGATGATGTGTATAAGAGAGAGTGTAACTTTTTAATTGAATGAATGAAAATTTTGTTAAACCAATACGGATGCCCTTACACACCCATTGTAAGTTTTTTTTTTTTTTTTTAGATATTTTAATCAAATCAAAGAACTGACAATCGATCGACATCTTTATCTTTTTTGCTTGATTTCGATTCATCTACTCGAGTGTATATCTCTCTTGAATTATTAAGAGGGTGATTGTTTACAAAATATTTCACCTCAAATATTTTCAACTCAAAATCTAACTTAACTTTAACTCAACCACACTATCTTTAATATTATTCATATAATTAAATAATACAAACCAATCATTCTTACACATCACATCAACTTTAATTCACTATTTATCCACTCACATAATTTTAACTACCAATCATTTACATTCATTTATCTCCTATTTTATATCAAATCAATTTTAATCATTTTATTTTAGATATTATTTTAATATATTTTTTAAATTCCACTAATAATTAAATACACTACTTTATCAACTTTAACCATAGTTAACCAAAATGAAATATTTTGGATGAAATATTTTATAAACAATCATGCCCTAAGTGAGGCTTGAAGAATAGTTCAAGATATTTGGTGTTTAGAAAAAATTTGAGGTTCTACATCTTTGTACATGGCGAGACAAAGCACAAATGGATTAAAGTCTTGGTATGGTACACTTTTTTATCCTTTAATAATGGACAGTTTGGTAGAATTAATGGAAATCACATGAAGTTGCTACTTCAGGGCTCCATTTTTTTCGTTAGCAGTAAGAGATGACTAACAAATTAGCACTGCTATATCCATATTTTCTAAAGGCACGACCTACCAAGAGTAAAATCCTAGACAAAAAATTGGGCCTACACAAGTCTCTGCAATAAATACACTAACGGTGTTAAGTTTATTGATCCCCCGGTTGGCAGACGTCAGTCCGTTCGACATTTCTTCATGCGATTGGTTCCACCTCACTAGTGAATACAAATTTCGAGGTAGATTTTACTTCATCGTTCACGTCTGATTAGAAATCAGAATCTTTTCTAATCCATCGGATGCTTATGGTTCTTTTGGTAACTCTAGATATTATCCTTAGCCCAGTTACAGACGCTGATATATGTTCTACAAAGAACCAATTGCACCTATATAGGATTACTTCGATATCTACCAACTATGCCCTTGGCAAAAATAGATATCATGCCTCATTTACTACATTACACATATTAGGCTTCTTTTTTGTCCAGCACAAGGAACATCCTTTATGTCACACATGCTACGAATGAGCCTCATGACAATCCATAGATAGAAGTTTGGGAGAATTGCAATAATCCTTTCTTGTGATTCTTGATCTCAAAAACATGTTTCGGTTTCTTCAAATGCTTCACATCTAATTGCTTCAAAAACATGTGTCGGTTACCTCTACGTCTGACAACACTCTTACACTTCTTCAAGTGATCAGATTGTTGTCTATGCATAGTATAAAAATACCACCACGCTTCTCACAAACACACAATGCTCATTTGGTGACAGATCATATCTACAGACTTGATCAACCACATGTACCAGATAATAAAACTTACTCCAGTCCACAAATAGATTGTTTTGGTTTACTGACTAGATACTCTTAGCGATCTACAATGAACCTTTCTGGGTGCTTTTATCGTCGACGCTCTTTGGTGTTTGGTGCGGCACATGTTCGGAGGGGGGTCAGGGCTCTGGTTACTGGGGCTCGGCAGTCCTGGTGGTTGGGGTTAAGGGCGCGATCGACCTTTGCGCGAGCCCGTTTGCCTAGTGGTGTTAGGCAGCGGGGGGCCAGGTTCCTTCGAGTTCGTCGAGTTCGGGTGGGGCTGGTATGAAGGTTGGCTACGTTTCTTTCGGTTGATGATGGGTTGATTCTGGGATCGGTGCGCGGCTCGATGTCTTCTACTGTATAAGCAGTAGGCAGTTTCGGTAGAGGATTCTCAGGCTCAGATCTTTCTTGTGTCGATCGTCCACTGCTGGTTGGGTTTGTCTGCTCGCAGGGGGATGGCTCTATTTCTATTTTAGTTGTTTTTCCTGTTTTTGTTTTGTGTTGCTTGTGTTTGTCTAGTGTTTGTGATTGTGTTTTAGGTTTGGGCCGTTGGCCTCTGTGCACCTGGGTGTCAAATTTATTACCTTGTGGGGGTCCGACACTCCGTTATTACCCTGTGGGGGTCTTGTTGTTTTAGTTGTTTGTGTCGTTGTTTTATTACCCTTTGGGGGTCTTTTCTAATTGTTTATTTTGGTTGCGAGATTTTCTTTCTAGCGGTTGCTAGCCGGGTTTCTAGGAGGTCTTCTGACCTGTCCTCCCACTTTTCAGCCATTGGCTGCTGTATTCGCACCTTGTGCGCTTTTGATTTATAATATTATCTATCATTTCGGAAGAAAAAAATAAAAATAAAAATAATTTGCTACAACATTTATTATATTTTGAGTGATTATAGATTGTGATATTTCGTCATGTTTACCGTTTGACGTGATATTATGAAAATTTTTGGTTGGATGGAAATAAAATGAACTAACCACAGATAAAAAAAAAAAAAAAATTCTACTACTTTGTTACAAAATCCAAAATAAAATATAAAAAAATAAATATTTATTACATCACTACTGCGCTCTGTCGAAATTCAACTTTAGTCGAGCCATTTTTCTGCATACACTGTCGCCATATCAGGAGAAACCGTCACGATATCCCGCTGCATATTTGATGTAAGGGATTGGTACTGTCCCACCCACTACACAAAACACAAGAATTAAAATATGTACTCGCATTTAAATTAAAAAAAAATAAAATTGTAATGAACGAATATTAACTAAAATTTAATAAACGACTTACATAATCGATGTTGGCGCGCGCAGGGACAACCTCGTCGTCCGGCTGACTGTCGGTCAAGATTCTAGGATGAGAATACCTCTCATACCATCGCATGTAGTCCTCATGGGCCGCCCCTAGATCATCTGCGGTGGTGGGAGTAAAATTAGACAAGCGTACAAAATGCAATCACGGGAACTGGTTCCAGTGATCTACTGCAGTAGTATATGCATGCTGGACATTGTACATCCTCGACTTCCAGCCACGAAATTGAGTGATCGGACGATCCACGCAGGGAAGGATCGTCTGGACGTAGTCCAACTGACGCAACAAACTGCATAACATGTACGACTCCACAATATCCCGGTATCTAAAGCATCCAAAATGAAGGGTCCTAGGCTCCAGCTCATGTGGGTTGGGGCCGTATGGCAACCAGTTTACATGTTCACAATTCAATAAAACATTTACTCAAACAATTCGATTATTCTAAATAACTTTCAGCTAAATGCAAATAAAATAACTTAACGTACCTCGACAGCTGTGAGTATGTCAAGCTGCCTACGGAAAGCAACCAGACGCTTATCTGAGTTAGTCGGGACGGGGGTGCTCCACAAGGCAGATCGGGCGAAGTAGTGTGGCTGGGGAGTCATACGCGAATGCGGGGGTCGAAGGGTAGGAAAATACTCGTATATCTAGGTCTGCATCAGAGTCAAACAGCCCGACAATCCCCCCGCGTCCCCCCTGCTGGCAATACCTAACTGTCTGAAGAAGTATGCCAGTGCAGCCGAGCCCCACGAGTAAGTCCCAACTTCCTGCACGTCCTCCATCAACTCGTGCATGACTTTGGGAGTGACCTTGTTACCACTCTTGTCTGTAAACAAGGTGGTAGCGAGTAACAACCACAGCCAGCCAATCGCCACATGCTCATCTGACCGAGGTCGGTCATTCTTTGACAGAGCATCAACAACGGCGTCATTTGTCCTTGACCCGTCAGCCCAAAACATCTCCATCAGAACCATCTGATCCATACTCAGCATCTCCATGCAGTACGCCTTGCATGCCACGGTGTCCCCTGTGACTACCGTTCCATCCACAGGAACCTCCAATATAGCCCGCATGTCGTGCAGTATGATGCTCAGTTCACCGAAAGGCAGGTGAAACGAGTTCGAATATGGCTGCCAACGCTCCACAAATGCTGAAATAAGTGGAGTGTCGACGTGCGTGTGCATGTTGGACGCCAAATGTAACATTCCAGACGGAAGGATCAGATCTCGCGCAGCCTGAGGCATGATTTGGAGCCACTTCCTCAAAACACCATGTGCAGCCATCCTGTTTTGGCATTTCAAAATTCCTCTGGCCTGTCCAGTCCACATACGGGAGGCTACGTGCCCTAGAAAGCTAGGGATAACACTCATGTCAACGGGGCCACTGGGCACTGCGGCTGTAACGACCCAGTCGTCACCCTTAGCGCGTTTGTTACTTGCCCCTGTACTAAAATAAAACAATCAATATATATACGACATATTGTGATTGACTTTGCACTAAAAAAAATAAATAAATAGAAAAAAAATATAAAAAAATAAAAAAATCCGCTATTATCGTATACCCAAAAAAATGTACGAATATTTCTAATAGTAAACAACAATAAATACATAAATCATTTACCTGAGGATGTTTTAGCGCCCGTGTAACGGCCCCCAGCCTGTCGTGGAGGATCAACTCGGCCACCTCATTTACCTGGACGTGGCTGTGGTTGTGGCTGCTCAACTGCAGCAAAGTTCGAGTCATAGACCTCCTCGTCATCAACATAGCCCTGCTCGTCATCATCATCATCATCATCATCCTGCGGACTCCTGACTGCCGACTCGTAAGTACAGCCCCGATGCTGAACAATACGTAAAGTCTCGAGACGTCCAAAACTGCTAAGGATCAGTGACACGGACCTCTTACCACTCTGCATCACAGGGAGGCGTCCCGAACTGATACGCATGAGTGGGCCGGACTGCTGACCACTCTGTATCGGATCAACGAGAGGTCTCGAACTGCCAGCCTGGGCAGTCTGTACGCGGCGAGCCTCACAGAGCCTCTCATCCCTCTCCCGCCGAGCGGAAGCATTCACATTACGAGTGTGCGTGAGTTGGGCTCCAGAACCATCCAAGTCGGCAAGATACTCATCAGCCTAAATCCATAATTTTAAACTAATAATTAGTAAACAAACTTTTTTAATTCATTTATTTTCAAAACTTAAATTAGACTACTTAATTTATTAATCTAAATTAATTTAAATTACTAATATATTTTAATTATTAATATATACATAATATTTATGTATTTATTTATTTCATAATGATATATAATAATTATTATTTTTTTCATTTATAATAATATTTCTAATATATATTTCATTTAGAATATATATATATATATTTATTTATATATATATATTTTAAAAAAGCGAAAAAACAATTAGAAAAGCGAATAAATATATATCTATATATATTTTTATATATTTTTTAAAAAAACCGAAAAAAGGAAAAAAAGGCAAAAAATATATATTAAATATATATATATATATATTTATTATATATATTTTTTAAAAAACCGAAAAAAGGAAAAAAAAGTGAAAAATACATATATTAAATATATAATATATATTAAATATATATATATATATATATTTATATTTTTTAAAAACCAAAAAAAGGCAAAAAAAAGGAAAATAAAAGCCAAAAAAGGCAAAAATATTTGCTAAAATATTTTTATTATTTATTTTTTTAAAAAATTATATTTTATAAATATTTAATTTATATATATTTCTATTTATTAATATTAAAAAAAAACTCGGCTGCTGGCGGCGGCCGAAACGCGGCTTGCGGCTGTGTAGACGGCCGCGGTCCGCGGCCTGAAATGGGGCACCCGCGCTGGACGATCGCGGTTGCAACCACTACCAACAGCGGTACGAGCCATTATTGACTACCAACAGCGGTACTAGGGTTGTAAACAAATCAAACATTTTTTATTCGATTCGTGATTCGAATTCGATATTCGTGATTCGAATTCGAAATATTCGAATTCGAATTCGAATTCGAATGATGTTTGAGATTCGAAATTATAACGAATTCGAATCCGAATGTGTAGATATTAGATTCGAAATTCGAATATTCGATTCGTTAACAATAATTATAAAAATTTTACAAATTATATATAATATACATTTTGTTTATAATATATGTATATATATTGTTATATTCCTAATATTTTTATGACACAAAAATAAAAACATCATAAATTAACAAAATTTTCTAAAAATATATGAAAAATAAAATTTATTTTTGTAATTATAATATTTTTTAATTATAATATTTTTTTGAAAACGAATTTCGAATCGAATCGAATATGTTCGAATATTCTAAACGAATCGAATACGAATCAAAAAATGAATTCGTTATCGAATCGAATCACGAATCGAATCTTCGAATATTTTAAACGAATCGAATCGAATCTCTGAGTATTCATTTTGATTCGATTCGTTTACAACCCTAGGTACAACAACCCAAAAAAAAAAGCATTGTTTGAGACCTGAATTTACCGAAGTAGCCCCATTATTTAAGAAGAAACACGACTCCGTTTCGGAACATTTTCGTCAAATAAGATTTCAACGGTTCTTTTCCTCGACTAGCCGTTACTCTTTCTTGTCCAAGAAGCCCAACAATCAATCACAGGCACAAGATGCGGAAACCCTAATCACAAAATCCAGTTCATATATAAACCGATCGATTCAATTTGTATCTTCACCAATTAATCAGTCACGCAACACCATCCTCATCATCATCTCTCTCTCTCTCTGTTCCTCTGATCTGTGATACGGAAAAATCTTCCTCAATCTGAGTTGATCTGAATCAACTGGTGTCGGTGTTTCTGAATTTTGATATTTTTAAATTTTTTTTTTTCGTCGAATCATATTACGTACTAATCTTTGTTTTTGCAGGCTTGATTCCCATTGATTGTTTGGTTTTTGCCAATTTTTGTTTTATTGTTTTTTTTTCTCGCTGATTGTGCCTCTCGTATTATTTTCCCTTTTTTCTGTGTCTTTTTTGTGCTGCTAACATATGGAAACAGGAATAGCTAACTTGTCCGCGTCTTCAAACAAGACTAAATCAAGATGCCCGCTGCAAGAACAGCTTCTTCATAGAAGAAATTCGCAGGAAAATGTATGTTGTGCTGTTTAAGAATTGGTGTTATACTGTTTTTGCTTGTTATGATGATGACAAGCTCTATTTGGTGGTTGATACAGCTGGACCGGTTCATACCAAACAGATCGGCTATGGATTTCGATTATGCTCACTACATGCTCACAGAAGGCCGAAAAGGTAAGGAAAATCCATCTGCAGTCTCATCTCCGTCGAGGGAGGCCTATAGGAAGCAGCTTGCAGAGACCTTCAACATGAACAGGACTCGCATTCTTGCCTTCAAGAACAAGCCGCCAACCCCAGTGGAAGCCATCCCGAATGAGTTTGCATCAGCCGCTCACCAAGTCAAATCTGCCAAGCCCCGCAGGCACATTCCTCAGGTTAAGATTTAATCGATAAAGAACAAAGAAAAGAACAGAAAAGAACAGAAAAGAAAAGGATTTAATTTTTGACAATGTTAACTGCTGAATGGTTTTTAATTGGTGTGGTTTGTGGTGCAGACTTCTGAGAGGACATTAGATGCCCCTGATCTCGTTGATGATTACTATTTGAATCTGCTCGACTGGGGCAGCAGCAATGTTCTTTCGATCGCTCTTGGAAATACGGTGTACTTGTGGGATGCTTCTGATGGATCAACATCGGAACTTGTGTCGATCGATGAGGAATTTGGTCCGGTGACTAGTGTCAAGTGGGCTCCTGATGGGAGGCATATTGCTGTAGGTCTGAACAATTCAGAAGTTCAGCTATGGGATTCCACAGCTAATAGACTAGTGAGTCCACTTTTCTGTCTTCTTATTTTGTCACTAGTTTTCTATAATGTAGTTTTCTATAATGTTGCGTATCTTTTGTTAAATCACAATTTTTGTTTGGTTTTGGCATGTTGTACCTTTATAAACAACTTATTAAGTCAAAAATTAGGATATTAAGATTTACCTTATATTATATGATATCTTGACTGATGATAAAATTCACACATCAATTAGCTCCGAACCCTGAGAGGCGGGCACAGGTCCCGTGTGGGTGCCCTCGACTGGAACAACCACATTCTTACTACTGGAGGCATGGACGGGCGTATCATCAACAACGATGTGAGAGTGAGGGCCCACATAGTGGAGAGCTACGAGGGACACCAGCAGGAGGTGTGTGGGCTCAAATGGTCGGCCTCTGGCCAGCAGTTGGCTAGCGGTGGTAACGACAATCTTCTCCACATATGGGACCGGTCGGCATCCTCCCGGTGGCTCCACAGACTGGAGGACCACACTGCCGCCGTCAAGGCCCTAGCCTGGTGTCCCTTCCAAGGGAACCTGCTGGCCACCGGAGGGGGTGGCGGAGACAGGAGCATCAAGTTCTGGAACACACATACTGGGGCCTGTTTGAATTCGGTGGACACGGGATCACAGGTTTGCGCTCTCTTGTGGAACAAGAACGAGAGGGAGCTTCTCAGCTCGCACGGTTTTACGAATAATCAGCTAACGGTCTGGAAATACCCCTCCATGGTGAAGATGGCTGAGCTCACAGGTCATACGTCACGAGTGCTGTTTATGGCTCAGGTAATCCTTTTGCTCCAACGAATAGTAAAAAATCTTGGATGTTTGTTTGTGATACTTTGTTGTTTATTTATGCTGTGGGTGTTGTGTGTTGTGTAGAGCCCAGATGGATGCACGGTTGCGAGTGCAGCAGGGGATGAGACGCTTAGGTTTTGGAATGTGTTTGGGACTCCTCAAGTGGCTAAGCCTGCTGCACCTAAGGCATCAACCACCGAACCTTTTGCCCACTTGACCCGCATTAGATGATGATGATCCACAATGTATGGTTTGAGCTGAGTGAAATTGGTATTCTGGCTCGGTCTGCTCTCATTTGCTGCACCTGTCCCAGAGTTCTTTTTTCTTTTCTTTTTTTTTTTCCCCCATTCTTTGTGGTATATAGTTTGTAACTTTTGGCAGCGAAGAATGGTGGTTCTTTTTGAGATTTCAGGATGAACGAACATCCATTGTGTATAGTTAGTCACTTATCGTGAACGAACTTCTCATTCTTTTTTCGATCGGCTTCAGCATTATATCTCCCAGTCGAGAAATTTCATGTAAAAAATTCCATATATATAAAACTTCTCAGTTTCATTTTCGTTTTTGTGATTTCATTATGTTCTTGCTCAACTTCAAATACATATGCTTGTGGGTTTTTTTTTTCCAAAACGAATAAATTTTATAACCATAACTCAACTGAACACAAGAATTTCCTTCTAGCACATGCCACTAGATAGGTAGACAAGTCAACCTCCTCCAAAGCCAACATGGCTAGAGAACTACACTTCAAAGGAAGCTGCTACATCGTGCATAAACACACATGCCACTAGATATGTTTGTGGTTTTTGCTTGTTCAAAATTTTTCTACAGGAACACGAACTTGGATTTCTTATAATTTGGATGTGCTATTTTGGAATGTCATTTTTATTACCGCTCTGTTATTTTTATTAATTGGCAAATATAATAATTATTAACCACTTCATGAGGGCACATGTTAATATGCTCACCGTTTATGTGACATGCATACATTGATGATTTATTAAATACACAGCCGAGCCCAAATTAGCTTTTATTTTATTTTTAATTTGATAATTATAATTATGTAATTTCTAAGTGATGTTCTACAAAACATTTGTGTAATAAAGTGATATTTAATTTATTATTGAGTTTTATTGTGTGAATTTGAAGTATACATAGTTCAACTTGAATTATTGAATCTCATAAATTTAAATCATTTTCTCAAGAATGTGGTAGAGTGATTCACGTTTAATAGACCTGTTGGATAAATGACACGTGTTCCTAATAATGTCACTATTATTACACGTCACCCATATAATAAATATTAACCATGATTTAAAATCTTATTTGTGATCTAAATCTTATTTGTGAACACTTATAATCTTGCAGTTGCAAAAAGGCAAAAGCTAGGTTGATTGTTTAGTAGACAAAAGGCTTTAGAAGAAAGTGAACCGAAAACCTAGCATCAGTCGAGAATTGAAATAGCTCAATTAGTTGAAGTGGTTCTGTATCTTATTTCCATATTGGCATTTAAATCTCTTGAGTCTACCATTAAAAGCTTATCTAAAATCAGTTTGTTGGCATGACAAACTGCACTTAAATGGTACTGCACCTCGGATCGGTTTTTCATCATTGTAGTAACGAAACCCAAAAAATGAAACCACAAATTGCTGCTCAAACACAAAAACACTTCCCCAAACAAGGTCGATTATTGCGTCTATTCGATTGAAGAAGAACTTGTCAAAACATCATATCTCCAACTCTATTTACCATCTTTTTAAATTCTTCATGTGACATAATACGAACCTGATCTTATCCTAAGGCTGAGCCATCCTCAAGAACTGCACATATTTGAAAAGTTCAAAGGTTCACTGTGCGTGTCTCAACAAATATAAATATCAATATAATTCTTAATTAAAATAGGGGAAGAAAGACACAAATAATGTCCGATTCTCGAAGATAAATGTTATAAGATACTCATTAGATAGATACCTCTCTTGCAATATGCTCTGTCATGTCAATATTCAAGTTCAGGTGGGCACCCGTAAATGTGACAATATCAAACCAAGTAGCTTCTAATGTTTGTCATTGTTGTTATATCTGAATAATCAAACAATTTAAAAAATTACCCAATTTATCCTGGTTATATGTCGAGCTACAGAAGCTATGCGTGTGTATCTCTTGAAAACAATTAAATGTGAAAAATAAGGATCAACTAACCTCGTCAGCAAAAATTATCATTCCACGATCCACCTTTGGTCGAACGACTCACCCCACGCACTGGGCAACTTGTCTCTGAACAAGCAAAATATGTCGGTGACTCAACATATACAAAAATAAAGTACTTGATTTCTTAAAAAGTAAACAAAAATAATTATTCTTATGCGAAAATGCTGAAAGATTTCCCGAGTATCAAAAATTAGACAGTTGTCCTCTTTTATTAGGAAAGTTCCGCGCAAATACTTCAGCCTTGCCATCAATATAAATATTCTGCAATTACAACACTTTTACACCGGTAGCCAGATATGTAAACATCTGTATTCCTTGAAGTATGAGAATGAGATAATTAATCAAAAACGAATGTGAAAACCCATACCTTACATCACCGGACGCTGAAACATAATAGAAGTGTGTACTGGAAAGTAACACCAAGCATCATTACAAGTTTTTCATAATGTCTGTCAAAGTCGATACCTACTGCCACTTTTCCCTTGCAATTGAGTTATGTAGTGATCATAGAATGCCCGGAATGAGACTCCGGTAACATTATCAGGTAATAAATAACAAATATAAATTTTTCTGTCATTGATGTTGATTCTAAGTTTTCGTGCACATAATGACTTAATGGATCTGCATTATAACAAAACCCCTGTAATGAAAATATAC